TTTTGTTAGGAAAAACCGTCAATGTTGTAGAGACAAGTTTTGTCTGTCCTATTCACTCACCACTGTGTTCCCACAACCAGAACACATGGTAGCTCTTCAACAAACATTAAACAAGTGACTGAATGAATGACAATAAAAACAAGATGTCTAGGAAGACACAGTGCCAAACTGTGGACAGCAGTGGACTTGAGAAGTAGACTTGGGAGAAACTTTTGACTTCTTGATATTTTCCTGTTTATTCTGAAATTTGTAAATGAGCACCCTCGTGCTTCTAAACAAGAAGGAAGAACAGCAAAGGCACTAAAGGAAAAGAGAGGGCTCTGTCTTGGGCACGGGGGGAGGGGGGTGGGGGACGAGGTCCAGATGGGGTAAGAGGATAGCAGCTCACCAGGAAGAATGTTGGGCTGGTGCTAGGACACATATGCACCCACCCCACTCACACTCATTCCACACAGGCCTGGCAGAGCAGGGGTCCCAGGGGCAGAGTAGGGGGAGGCTGGGGCTGCAGGAACCGAAGGGAGTGAGGGTGAGCTCAGAGGGGTGAGGTCACACAGCTGGCCCAGGATGGAGAAGCCAGGCCAGCTCAAGCCTCAGGCTCCAACATCATCATTTTTGAAATTATTCATACCCTTTACTCTGTTTCAGAGATGAGGAAAATACTGCCCAGAGATAAAGAGTTAGACTTACGAGAGAAGCTCTAGAATAGACTGGTTCAAATTCTAAATCTGTCATTTAACTCTCCTGGGAGCTTTCCCCCATGGAGCTTCAGTTCCCCCAGTCATCCCCAATGGGGTGGCAGTGGCAATGTCAAACCCACAAGCTAGGTGCACAGGGTGGGCTCCCCGGATGGTGGTGGAGATTGATGTTGGCCTTTCAGTTTCTGAGGTCGAGCTCAGCTGCCTTCCTGGAGTCAGAAGCCCCTTAAGCCTCAGGGTATGTCACAGCACCAGCAAATGTCCATATTACCCCTGGGTCTACCCTATGGGGACCCTCCTTCTCCTGGGGACAGAACAGAGAGGGACTGGGTTTGATTCTGATTCTGCCACTTGTCAGCTATGTGGCCCACGGAAGTTAACCTCAAGATGGCTGACAGCAGCACCTTGCACACAGCATCTCTGTGAGAACCCAGGTGCTCGGGGCAACAAACACAAAGGTCTCCTTGCCTCTCAACCTTCTGCTCCATGGTCCACCTCTGACTGAGGGATTCCACTTCATGGAATCTTCCAGAAGCATGGAAAGGGATAGTCAGCTGGAATGCAAGGCACTTGGGAGGGTGGAGAAGGTAAGGTTCAGACTGACGGAAGTAGACATGGAAAGACCACATGCTGCCCAATTCCACTGATGTGAAACGCTAGAAAAGGCAAAACAACAGGGACAGAAAACAGGTCAGAGGTGGGGGGGGAGGGCAGAGGGGATATGAGGAGTGATGAAAATTTTACTACCCGGTTGTGGTGGTAGCTATATGAGGGTATATAGATGTTGAGTCTATAGGGGCCATTTTTTTTCAATGTTTATTTATGCATACAAGAACTGAGTTACAGGCCAGAGGTGTGGGGGGTGGAGGTGGGGGATGAGAGGATTCACCAAAGACAGAGAGGGGAACAGAACAGGCAGACTGACTGAAATACGCTGCTGAGGGGAGCAGCAGGCAAGACAGGAGAGGTCTGGCACCATGTGAGTAGCTCCCTGGCCTGCTGGGGATCGAACTTGTACTGCAGAGGCTTTGGATAGCTTCACAGTGCTGTGCTTAACTCCTTGAGCCACCAGGGAGGACCCAAAAGGAGTCATTTTTATACATAAATACTATCTAAAAACTTTTAAAATAAACCAAAACAGAAACCTCAGTCAGGATGGGTACTCTGGGTTTCATTTTATTATTCTGTTTATGGATTTATTTGAAATTTTCCAACATAAAAAAAAAAAAATTAAGATCATGTCTGATCTACTCCCAAACCTCCCATTGCTCTTTCCTGGCACAGAGTAAAAACTAAACAACTCGCTGTGGCCTTCGAGGCTCCTCCATCTGGCCTGCATGTTCCTCAACCTCACCCCCTCTCCCCAGGCTCACTGTGCCCAGTCACACTGCTCTCAGTGTGGTCTTTAAACCTCAAGTCTTTCATTAAAAAAAACCCAATGCATTGAGATCTGTTCTGGCCACCCGGTTTGAAACCTCTCTAAAAACATATCCACACCCTTCCCAGTTTAATCTCTCTCTGGGCACTTGACTTCATATAGTTATTTCTTTCTTTGCATATTGTCTCTTCCTATGTTAGAACGTAAGTTCCTGAAGGGCAAGGAGCTGGTCTGGTTTTTATTTTTCACAGCTGTGTTTCCCTGGAAGAAAGCTTGGCACACAGTAGGTGTTCAATAAATATTTCTAAATGAATTAATGATTGATTGAAGAAGTGATGTCATATGTATGTACGTGTGTATATATATGCACGAGTTAACAAGACCTGTTCTCCATGTGGCTCCTGAGACCCCAGATTTGGAGACTTTCAGCACTCAGGGCCCACCTACCTAAGACTGTTGAACCCAGCTCTGCTTTCTAACTCTAAGGATTATATATTCATTAAGCAACCCCTCCCCAAAGTCTACTCCATGACCAAAGATATAGTAAATCCGTTCAACTTGGCAAACATTAATTGCTCATTTTATTCTTTTATTGATCCACTGCCTTCCTTGTTCCACAAAGAATTTCTGCAAAGTTTAAAGACCTCAACAAACCAATAGATATTTAAAACTAAAGGAGAAAGAAGGGAGTCAAAAACAGGCAGGATCTTGGTCTCCTAAGCTGGACCTAGAGTACACTGTGTCCTCCCAAGGGCTTACTCAGAGCAGAATCTACCCTGGACCCAAGTTAACAGGGGAGAATCAATGAGGGCTTCCTGGAGGAGGTGATATTTGAGCAACAACACATACAAAGGCCCAGCAGTGGGAAACATAATTATGTGGGCATGTTATTTCTAAAAAAATTGTTCTGACCTACCGATCCCACTCAAGTGCTTTTTAGAGAAATATGTTCCTGAGACATACACAAGATCACATCTTTCTTGCTCAGATTGTAGCCAGACCTGACTCAGTAGAGGTCAAGGCCCCTCTGACCTCAGGATCCCTTTCTGTCCCCTTGTATATAATGACTCACTCCTCAGCTTTGTTTTGTTTCCAAACTCCCTGACACAACACACACTTGTCTGAAAAAAAAAAAATACACTAGGATATTCTCAATAAATATATCTAACAAAAAACTAATAATCAAACCATAAAAATGACTCCAAAAAAAAAAAATGAGAACTTAAACAGGAACTTCACAAAAGTAGATATCCAAGTGGCAAAGAGGCATATGAAAAGGCCAACATCATTAGTCACCAAGCAAATGTAAATTAAAATGAGCTAAGAGATCACTTCACACTCACTGGAATGGCTAAATTTGAAAAGACTGAAAAAACTGACACTACCAAATGAAACTTTCAAAATTGTTGGTTGGAGTATGAAATGATTCAGAGCATATTGAGAAAAGGTCTGGCAATTTCTCATAATACTCAAGATACCTACTATAAGATCCAGCAATCCATTCTTGGTAGCTCCCCAAGAGCTATAATCAGACACCAAAAGATACATAACTTATTCGTAATAATCAAAAGCCAAAACCACCCAAATGCCCATCAACAGGTAAGTGGATAAACTGTGGCATATGCACAGATGGAATACTACTAGCTAATGAAAGAGATACGTCCAACAACCCGGAGGAGTCTCACAGATATTATGCAGAACAAAAGAACGAAACACTTAAAATCACTTTCTATATGATTCTGTTAGTGCGAAGTTCTAAAAAATAAATTAGTCAATGTTGCCGGAAGTCCATGACAGGGGTTATCTCCAGGGGTGGGACTCTAATTAGAAGGGGGCCTTAGGAATCACCAGTGTTCTGTATCTTGATTTTGGTGACGGTCATGCTTACACCTTAATTAACAAACAAGTGAAATGAATCTATAGACAGGTGATTCAACATTCAGCTATGGATGGGTGGGAACACAGCTTCAGGTATGAGCAAGATGGGGGAGAGGGAGGGCTGATAAAGATCCTTTTCAAAAAAGAGGCATGGGCCCTGAGAGTCCTGTGTGTCCTTAAGTAAGTCCCTGCCTCTCTTGAGACTCAGTTTCCCCATCTGTGGAGGTGGCTCCAAGGATCCCCAAGTCCTCTTCCTGCACTTCTACCTCTTTAGCGAAGAGGTGGCATTTCACACCTGTCCCAAATAAGGCTTTTGGGATAATCTCTCCTTAGCAGCCCCAGCTGCACTAGACAGGTCCCAGCAAACCTTCCCCTCAGTGTATGATCTCACGAAGGTCTCCGGCATACCAAGATTTGCAAGATTTTTCACTGAGCACTTCCTGTAGCTTACCAGGGTTCTTTTTGTTGTTGTTGGTTTTGGGTTTTTTGTTTTTTGTTTTTTGTTTTTTGTTTTTTTTGCTCTGCAAAGATTAGGGACACAGCAAGTGCAATGGTGGTTGCAAGGAGATTAATTAGCATCACCTTCCATGGTCATTACTTCTTTTTGAGAAGGGGTCGGTGCGGGTGCCCCACAGTTGCTCGGCACAAACACTAGAGGGAACAGTGGCCGGGGCCCAACTGCCCCGTGCGTTGTTTTGTTTTGTTTGGCGCTGCGAGCGGAGCGCAGCCGGGGAGGCGCGCGGCCCCTTTAAGAGCCGAATGGAATGTATCAAAACAAAAAGGCCGCGCGCCCAGTGGCTGCGCGGGGCACGTGACCTCACAGCTGATTTCCTGGCCCCCCCCCCTCCTTTTTTTTGTTGCTGCCGCCGCCGCGGCAGCCGCTGAGTGTCAGTTTCTGCGCCGCCGCCTGCGGTCTCCGGGGTGCGGGCTCCCGGCCGCCCCCCGCCCCGCCGCCTGCGCCGCCGCCGCCGCGGGCCCACCCCCTCCGCGCGCCCGGCCCCGCCGCGCGGGCGCCGGCCTCGGGGCCCCGGGGCCGCTGCCCGGCGCAGATGGCGCACTCGGCGGCCGCCGTGCCCCTGGGCGCGCTGGAGCAGGGCTGCCCCATCCGCGTGGAGCACGACCGGCGGCGCCGCCAGTTCACCGTCCGGCTCAACGGTAACGCGGTGCCCGGCCCGCCCCCGTCTTTTGTCTGCGCGCAAGCGGGGCCCGCCGCGGCCGCCCCCTAGCTGGGCGCGCGCCCCTGGCCCGCCACCCGGGGGGCGTCGCGAGCGCGCGCCGCGGAGTGGCCGCCCGCGGCTTCCGTGCGCCCGGCGCGCGGGTGCTGGGCGAGGGCTGCGCTCGCCGACGAGCTGGGGGCGCGTCCGACTTGCGGGCTGGGCCCGGACGGGCTGCCCGGAAGAGGCGCGCCCAGGCCGGCGGGCGGGCGGGCGGCGGGCTGGGGGCCCGCGGGGAGGCGGAGCAGGGGCTGCTCTGGTCCGCTGCCGCCAGCCCCCGTCTCGGCCCCAGGGGACTCGCACCTGCTCGGGCCCAGCCCTTATCTGGTGTGCGGCACCCGCCGAGGGCTGCTGTTCGGGACCCTAGAGAGTGGGTCAGCCTTGACTTTCCCGGGGTTAAATGGCTTCTTGTTGCCCTTGGGAATCTTAGATTTCTGCACCGTGGCGGTTGGAAGAATCCTCTGGGCAGACCTAACCTAGGGCTGGCAGGGAGAGTTCTGTCCCTTTGGGAGAGTGGAGGGGGTTGGTGTCACCATCGGACCCCAGTGGCTCGCAGAGTTTGGTCAAGTTGCCTCATCTCTGGTGGCCTCAGAGTTTCCCCACCTCTACAATGGGAATGACGCCCGCACGTACCCCTTAGCTGTTTGTAAGGACGAGATGCTTCAACAAGAGTAAATAAAGGCTTAGAACACTGCCTGTAGTGAGCCCTGATAAACGTGCACTGGCCTTTTTTTAAACCTAAAAGCAAAGTCAAGGCTTCAGTTTCTGTTAAGAAAGTTTCCACCATTCTTAGTGGTTCAGTAACTGTTGACTATAGTTATTGAAATAGAATGAAATAGAAAATAGAATTTTAAAAATCGAGGACTATGCTCTCTTGTATCTTACCCGTTCTGCATGAATAAGTTTTTTCTTCCCACCTGGGTACCTGTGGAAGTGTCCCGTGCGAAAGGGCCCTGGGAGGCCACTGTGCCCATCTCTGAGAAAGGAAGGTGGGAAAAGGGAGAGGCCCACCTTACGTCAGGCAGTGAGTTGGGGCCAAGTTGGGATAGGATCCTGCCTGGTCTGACTCCCAAAGGTGGGCTTGTCCAACCTGCACTTGGCCACAGCCTGGAGGGCCCAGGACCTGGGGCATTGGTATTTCTAAGACTCTTATTTGGACTGTGCTGGGCATTGAGCCAGGCCCCACCACATCTTTGATAGAGCATCCCTGTGATGTGGGCATCGCCACCCCATATGACAGATGAGTATACTAAGGCTTGGACCACAAGGAAGGAGTGACTTACTCATTATGACCAAGTGTCAAACCTAGAACTCAAACATGCACCAGCTAACCCTCCACCAAGTTTCCTCTGTGTGGAAGCAAGTCCTGCCACTAATGTGCTCACAGACTAGGTCCAGTTGGCGATGACACTCAGACCATGGCCATACTCAGAGGCAGTGGCCTTGTGGCTTTTCAAATCCACTCTTCTAAAGTTCCAGAGAGGATGCTGCTTCCTTTTAGTGCTCAGGAGGCCCTTTAACCTGACAGAGAGAGAAAAAAAAAGGGAATGTCTGGGGTTTCCCTTCTGTTGCTCCCAAATGAGTATAGCCAAAGTACACCCTCTAGAGCTGACAGTGGTCAGTCATATTGCTATCATGCCCCCTTCCAGAACATACTGCCCAGATGACTGAAGTGAATGGGGATCCCCCAACCAAGTCCAAGGAGCAGCGGGTGGCCTCTAACTTCTCTCCACAGTAAGGGGGAGCTGTGCAGCCCAGGAGGCTGGTCTAGGTATGTTATGGTGGGCAAGAGGAATCCTCTGTGTCTGAGCTCAGCCCTGCCTCAATTCAGGACAGACATAGCCTGTCATGGCATTTCCTGAACTGCAAGGCCAACCCCAGAGACTGGCTCACTGTGCCCATTAAGGTGGCATTTAAATGAATACTGAACATGGGCTGAGAGGCCAAGTGGCCCCATAGATCCCATGCGGGAGTGTCCAGGACCAACCTATGACAGAGCTGGAATTGCAGCTGGGCTCATGAGCTGCTGGCAAACTCTGGTTCTAGGTAAGGAGAGAGGTTGTAGCAGCTGCTTTTGTTAAGTCCTTGTGTTCTAGGCAGGTCCAGTACACGTGAGGCTCTTTATCCTTATGGCATAAGGATGGGAGGGGGTAGGGTGAAACCATACTCCCCATTTTACCATTAAGGAAACTAAGGCACAGAGGAGTGACTGGCTCACCTTAGAGGTAGAAGAACTGGGATTCACCCCCCACAAGTCCTTAGTGAGCAACTACTATGTGCCAAGCATATTCTAGGCACTGGGGATCATGGAACTGATGCTCTGGAGCAGTATTGTGAAGTGTCCTAGAAAACAAGAGCCTGGTGAGAAATAAAGCAGAGCAGGGGACAGTGTCTGGAAAGAAGTGCTGCTTAGAATCAGACGTCACAGAGGGCCACCCAGAGAAGGTGGTGTTTAAGTGAATACTGAAAGGAGGCAAGAGAGCAGCTACCTTCCATGTGGAAGAAGCAGCGAGAGCCAAGGCCCTGTGATACGAATATCTCTGGAGCAGCAGGAAATAGGAGAAGGAAGGGAGGAGGATCACAGCATGAGGCCAACATGTGACTGGGGGGCAGGTGTTGCAGGATCCTGGGAGCCATTGTTAGGACTTCACTTGAATCTGAGTGAGGTAGGTACCTGGGAGGACCCTGAGCAGAGAATGGGTAGAATGTCCCAGACGCTCTTGGTGACTCATAGCACTGCCCTTGCCTTCTGCTGACCCTCAAAGGAGGTCCCTAGGGAAGAGACACTTGGACTTACCTTGAATATGAAGGAAGAGCCAACTCGGGTGAGAGAGGTACCCCGGTAAAAAGCCAGGGAGTTGAGTGAGTATCTGTGAAGAATGGTGAGGCCAGTGTGACCAGGCCAGGACCCTGACAGGACAGATGGAATTTGACTCACCTTCCATGCATGGCTGCAGAGATGTGGGCAGTGACCAGATTCTAGGCACATATGGAAGGTTAGGCCCCTGAATCTGCTGAAGGATCAGGTCAGCGTGTGAGGGAAAGATAAGATAGTGAGGACCCAATGGCTTGAGCTACAGGGGGTGGCCAATTTCTGGGGCTCTCCAGGCAGGTTTAGGGAGGGGAGAGGAGTTAGCACTAGGTGACGTCTGTGGGCCCCATGGGTGCTAGGTCATAGGCCAACATTCCAATATTGTCCACCTGCGGAGTCTCATTCCTCCTCAGGCCCTTATGGTGTGGCCTGACCAGTGAGGGGGGAGGGGTCCACTAATGTGCTCTTTCCCTCACACATAGACCACATCCCCCCTAGAAGATCCTCTCAAGTAAACTCCTCCTGTCTCCCACCCAGTCTACACACAGCCAAGCTGAGCACTTGTTTCTTGGAGTCTCCATCTCCCCACTGCTAATATGGCTCTGTCACAGGATTGTGTTGAGTATGGTGTGTGGAGAGCTCTGGCACAGTGACCCCACACGGCATGAATGGCAGCTGTTCTGTTCACCACCTCCTGCAGGTATCAGGCTGGCTCTGGAAAGGTCCGGTGCGAGGTACATCAGTAGCCCACAAGTCAGTCTTAAGCCCCTAGAATGTGTGTGACAAAGAAAATATAATAGTTGTTTTTTGGGACAGTTATTTCTTGGGTGCCTGCCTTGATTGGACACAGGAATATAGTAGTGACCGAGCCTGAGTACTCTAGGAGCTGATGAGGGGCAGAGTCCCCCAGGCCTTTCTAGGGTCTGCCTCATCCTTGGCCCACATGGCCGCTCCAGGAACATTGAATGAGGAAGCAGTTGACGATAGGAACACTAGCCAGCTCTGGGGGACTCAGGGCTCCCCCACCTCCCTGCTCTATAGGAATGGTGACAGAGCAAACACAAGTCTTTTTAGTGGCCTCAACGCCCTGTGTTATCTGGCTTCAGGAGCCCCTGATTGGCGTCCTACTGCTCTCTCCAACAGCCTCCTTGCAGTTCCTTGAAAATTCTGTCTCCGGGCCTTTGCACATGCTATACTGACTACCTAGACTCATCCCCTACATCTCTTTTTGGATCCTTACCTCCTTCAGCTCTTTCCTCCAGAGAGGTCCTCCCTCTGCACTCTCCTTTAAATGGCAGCCTGTGAACACTCTTCTCTCCACCCACATTGTTCTCCAAGTCATTGCCTTCCAATGCTACATTGTATATAATGATATTACAGTCATGCATCCATCAGTGACAGACTGCATCTACAGCGGTGGTCCCTACCTATAGTCTAGGTGGTGATCTATACTAGGTTTGTGTGATTGCACTATGATGTTCCTATCATCTCTCTCCCTCCTTGAGGGAGCATTTTATCCATTTTGTTCACTACTGCAGACCCAGCACCCAAAACTCTGCTGCATTGTTGGGCCCTCAGTGAGTGGGGGGAATTAAATGGCCAGGGCAGGCAGGCAGCGCCTTCAGTAACTGGTATCCAGGTCAGTCCCAAAATAGTCTCTGCTCTCCTGCTGCGGGTGAGCTGAATTAACCCAGCAGGTGCAGAAGCTGGGGAGCAGAGTCTCATGTGCTGCAGTTGGGGCAGGCAGCAGTGGAGGCCATAGCTGGGTGTGACGAAGGCAGTGAGTACAGTGGGCAGAGACTAGGATCAGGAGGAGGAGGTGCTAGAGGGCTTAGAGATAGTGCTGGGGGGCACCCTCAGCTGGGCCTGAAAAGAAATGGGCATGCCCAGCAGAGGGAAAAGGTAAGTAAGTGCCCAGGCAAAGGCTCAGGCAGGAGACAGGGCATGCTCAGGTGACGTAGGAAGCAAGACCTGAATTCTGGGTCTACCCCAGACTCCCTGTGTGACTTGGACCTCTGGATCTTAGTTTCCTTGTGTGGAAATGGGGAGATGAGTTGTAGCCCCCATCCTGGAGCTTCAGGGAGAATCAGAAAACCTCATGAGATTGGACTCTGTCACAGTGTGAGGTTTGCCATGAGACCCTGGCCTGTCAGTCTTCCCCTTGTGACCTGCACCGCAGGCCAGGAGCCCAGCAACATACAGAAGTAAATTATTAATGGTGCTTTAAAGTTAAAACACATGATACGTAATTTTCTTTTAGCTTTAAAGCTAAAACATGTGACATAAAAATTGCTTTTAATAATTAGGAAAAAACACTTAGCATTGACATGTCTTCTTTCAGTCTTTGCCCTCTGTCAGCTCTTCCCCTACTTTTACCTCAGCTGCCTCCTACTCCTTGATCACCCCTCAGTTTTCCTTCTTGGAGGAGTCTCTCCCCTTACTACCCCTGGCCAAATGACCCTATCTCTCCCCCCAACCCAGCTTATATATTTCCTTATTTATTTCACGTACAACTCCCTGAAATGATAAGCTTTGGGGTAGTCCTCAACCCCAAGTGGCTCCTCTCACTATGACTGAACCATCAGCAAATCCTGTTACACCTTCAGAACACCTTTGAGTCTGATGCCTTCTCATACCCCCACTGCGTCCACCCTGCACTGAGCCCCCGTTCTCACTCCCGCAGCAGCCCTGCTGGTTTCCTGCTGCTGACCCAGTCTGTGCTCATAGGAGGGGGTCCCATGAAATTATGAATCACATCTGTCCCTGTTCTGGCAACGACCCACCTGTGTCCCCCAGCTTGCAACTTAAAGGCTCTGCAGGACCTGCCCTGTCACCTCGCTACCATCATTTCTCTCACCCTCCTCCTTGCCCACTCCTGCCTCTGAACCTTTGCACTGGCTATTCCTCTGCTTGAGGCAGTTCCTCCAGATATCACTTGGCGAGCTCCCTCTCCTCCTTCCTGTCTCCATCTCTGCCCAGCACGCCCCGCTCCTCTCCCACCCGCTGCTGTGCATGTATACGTGCCTCTGTATCTTTTGTTTATTCTGCCTCCTCTCTAGTCAGTTCCACAAGGGCAGGTCTTTTTGGCTTGCTCGTTGCTCTGTTCCCAGCACAGAAACAGTGGCTAGGTCTCAGTAAACCTTTGTTGAATGGAACGGATGGACATGCGGTTGGACAGATGGATGAATGAAATGACTGTTTAGATGGACAGACAGATGAACAGACGGAGGGAGGGAGAACTAAACTGGTTGCAGGAACTTCAGGTAAATGTTTTTTCCGATGGGGAGTTTGGAGTGAACTGGGTGGCAGGTCTGAGGACATGACAACAATGACCAGTTTGGCCCTGCTTCCTGTGCCAAGTGTCAACGATGGACACTGGGCCACACCCTGGGAACTACTGTGTGGTGGCTCTGCTGGGTCCAGCAGCTGGGCTGCCCTTCATGCCTCTTCAGGCTTTGGTATAGTTGGGGACTTGCTGAGCCCTGCTCTGCACCCAGCACTCCCAGAAACGTACTCAGGTGGGGATGGACTGATAGTAACTGTGTGTTCTAGTGCTGCTCCAAGCCTCTTACAGAAATCACTTTATTTAATCCTCCAAGCACCCTTATAAGGTATGGTTGATCATAGTCCCACTTTTTGGATGAGGAAACAGGCACAGAGCTTTTATTCAGTTTCCACTTCCAGCAGCCCAGCTCCAAATGCCTGCCCTCATGTGGCCGGCCCTCTGCCTGGGTCAGGCTGCTAGAGTCTCCATGGCCTCACCTGTCCACCTCCCTCCCCACACAGGCTGTCACGACCGGGCTGTCCTGTTGTACGAGTACGTGGGCAAGCGGATTGTGGACCTGCAGCACACCGAGGTCCCCGACGCCTACCGCGGGCGCGGCATCGCCAAGCATCTCGCCAAGGTAGGGTGGGGAGGGGTGTGCCCTCCCACTCAGGAGACGTGGACCCTGAGGGCCCACCCTGGCCTTTTCTTGGCTAAAGTGCAGATGGGTGCCTGCCTGGAAAACACCTTGCTACTAGGCCCAAGTGGTTGCCCAGCAGCAAGGCTTCCTCCTTGGCTCCTCTCAGGCTGGTGCCGCATCCTGGCCCTGGGTTCTGCAGAGCTAAACCTCTAGGGCTCTCTGCACCTGCTGTGTGTCAGGACTTCTGGTAGCCAGGGCCTTGTGCCCACCTCACACATAGATATACTCAGTAAATCCTCACTGAATGAACGGATAAAATAATTGGTCTGTGCCCCAACCCCCATCCCCAGAGCATTTTAAATCCCTGGCTGCTTGGAGAGCAGGTTTGGGTTTAATGAGGGGAGTGACAGCCTACAGCAGAGAATGATCTGAGCAGAGAATTCCCCTGAGGCTGCCCTCTGTCTGTTATTCCTGCCCACCCCCACCCTGGCCTGTGTACTTTCTCTGCCCTCCCCTCTGGTTCCCTTGGTGCTTCCCTGGACCAGGGCAGGGGTTTGTGCCTGCCTGTGGGGAAGACCCTGTCTTGAAATAGCAGCTGCCCTCTTCTCCTGAGTGGGACCAGCCTGAGGGCTGGTCTGAGGCTGCCTGTGTTACTGGTGAGGAAATCCCGATAGTTACTGACTTGGGTAAACTGGGAGGTGGGCTGCTCCTTCCTCAACAGTGGTGTCTCCTGAGCCCCTGCTTCCCTAACCCCTACCTCCCCAGGGCATGAGGGTGCTCACTGTCTGGCCTTCGAACCAGTACCTTCTTGGCTTTTCAGTTTCTTTATCTGCAAAATGGGAGAATAGACTAGAACTTATCACAAGAAGTTCTCAGGTCATGAACCTTGGGCTTGATGGGGCCTCGGGTTGTTGAGGGACCCCGGAGATTCTTGACTTATGCCTAGGAGAAAATTTGTGTGGGAGTCAGAGTAGGTGAGTGAGAAATGACTCTCTCGTTGGGTACGCACACACTCCAGAAAAAGTGTAGGCAGATTCAAGAATCAGCCTTGATCTTAAGGTTACTGATAAAAATACTTGCTTAGCTTGAGGGGGCAGGAGCTCATAGTTGGGGTCTGGAACAGATTTTGACCAGTTTTGTTTAACAAGACCAACTGGGACCTAACATCCCATTGGTAAAGTAAGATAGAAGTTTTACAATCAAGGCGCCAGCATGAGATAAAGGATCTAAACTAGTAGGGTTTAGGTCATCTTGTTCTGGAATGTGCATAGGGTTTTTTTTTTTCCCCAGAGTTACTACATGGGGGTGGGGGGTTGCTGCAACCTCTGTGCTGAATTCCTGTTCAGTTGTGGACAATGAGGTAACAAAGCCAGGCTCAGGCATGCTGGAACATCAGAGGGGCTACCATGTCATGCATCAGATTGGCTGACCCCACGGAAAGTGTCCTCCACCAGGTGTCAGCAAACAGTAAACTCCAACTGCAAACAGCAACTCCAACAGGAAGTTCCCCAAACGACCCCCAGCTCTCTGGCTGCAGAGCTCCTTAGAGACAGTGAGAGTGCAGAAAGCCCTGGGGGGATTGCGGCAGCCCCAGAGTGAGCCTACAGGAGAAGGTTCCAGGAGAAGCCATCAAATGAGGTGTGGCATGAAAGATGGGTGGTTGAGAAAGAGAAGTTAAAGGTGGGCATCCTGTGGGCACTGTGAATGTGATTGGAAGGTAAGATAGGGTGGGAGTGTGGGAGAGGTAGGCCACGTGATAAGAGCAGGCTTCTCCCTACTTAGTCCTTTCCTAGTGCTCTCCCAGAACATCATGGCTTGCTCTTCTCAGCCACCTTTATGTGGTTTTGTGCAAGGAGGGACTCTGTAGCCAATCCTAACTAGCTCTCTTCCGTGTTCTATGGCCTAAGGCAATTTACCAAAGCTTTCTGCCTCCATTTCCCCAACTGAAATATGGGAGCGGTGAGAGCACCTCCCTCCATTGCAGACTGGGTAGAACATGAGGCAGCCAGCTCCTGTTGTCAGATGAAACAGCCCCAGAGGCATGGGGGAACCCCAGAGTGCTGGCACTAACTCCTCTTCTCTCTGCCCCTGCTGTCAGGCTGCGCTGGACTTTGTGGTAGAAGAAGACTTGAAGGCCCATCTCACGTGCTGGTATATCCAGAAGTACGTCAAGGAGAACCCCCTGCCACAGTACCTGGAGCGCCTTCAGCCGTAGCCCTGGCCTGCAGGGCGGTAGCCCTAGTCCAGACCTTTCCTCACGGCCGTGGCCCGGCCCTCTGCGTGCTCTCAGGAAACCTGGTCCCCACCGGGTATGGACTCAGAGTTATTTTTGTAAGAACGCTCATCTGTGGCCCCTGGAGGCAGCTGGCCAAGTATGGCCGGTGTCCAGCTACAGTGGTGAAGGCAACGCCAGGCGGCTACAGTCACAGCAGCTCCTGCTCTACTGAGAATGGCCCTGAGAGGGCCTTCAGCCAGGAGCAGAATGTGGTCTGGGTCCCACCTACTGTTCCCTGCTCTGTGAGTGGCAGGAGGGCTAATTTGGGGCCTGCTGGCCCCACCTCCTAGGTCTGCGTCTTTTCTGTGGATGAGGAGGTGTTCCTGAGCCGAGAGGAGCAATAAGAAACCTTGTGTGCCAACTTCCCAGGGGCATAGCGCCCAGTTGTGGCTGCCACCAGCACTGCCCCTTCTCTTCCTCCGACTCAAGGGCCCTGGCATGGGGGACCGGCTTTGAGAAGGGCAGCCCTCCTGACTTGCGAAACTGGGGTGGGACCCCTGCACACTGCATGAGCTCAGCTGCACACACAAGCACACACCACATGCACGCACAGGACACCAAGTGCAGGGCTGTGCACTGTCAAGAGGCTGATGGGGGAGCGCTGGGTGTTCTCTCCTTGTATCTGTTCCCTTAGCTCCTTGCCCCCTTGTCTTTCAGCTCTACAGGAAAACAAGGTCCCCATCCTTCATGGCTGTGCTTCCTCCCATTTGCCACCTTTGGCCCCCACTCACCCCCATCTGTCACAAGCCAGCTCCAGATCCCCCACTTCATAGTGACCTCCTGGCTGCCCTATGGGTGGGTTTTCTCAGCACCCTTTGGAGCTGGGATGGGAGGGATGCAAATGATCCTTAAAAACTCACCACCTGAGAGGGGGAAATATTTCTGCCAGGGGATTTCCTTTGCTGCCACAGAGCATTTTTCTCTTTGGTGGTGAGCTTGTGCTAGGCGCACCAGTTGCCTGCCTGCCTTCCCAGGGACACTCCCACCACAGCCTTCCTGGTAATGACCTGGGAGGGGTACTGACCACCCTTTGTTCTCTGGGGCTGACCTTTCTGGAGGCCCTTAGGGCTTCCTTTTGGGGGCTGGTTAGAGCTCAGGGTCCTGACCTGTACCCCTACCCTCTCCCCTCCATAGGGTCAAGTTCATTCTCCTCTTCCATGGGGCTGAATTGTTAGTTAACATCAAATTCCTGGGTGACGTGTCCCCTCCAGGCCTCTGACTGGGCTCAGGGACGTATGGGTGCTAGGGGCGCTGGTTGCCATGGTGACTCCTCCATTAACTGCTGTGCCCTGGCAGGCATTGGCCTGTGGATGCCTTTTCTACTCACCTCTTTGTTCCTGTCTCCATATTGAGGCCCTCCACCCCCCAGCCAACTGCTGCTCAGGGGCCCACCCCATACATTTCACAGATGCTGTCCCACTCTGTAGCAGGAACAAGATGCACACATGCAGGAGGCCTGGCAGTCTGCCCACTAGGGGTCCTTGAGCCCCCGTGTCACTGTCATTAGCATCCCTCACTCCCTTGTCCCAGCCCCACTCTTGCCTCCGGGAGTTCCTGAGACATCCAAAGGCACCCTTCCCCTCCTACCTTGCTCAGTTCTGATTGTGGAGGGCTAAAGAGGCCCCCTAGGCCTCCATTGTGCTGGGAATTATGGGCCAGGGAGAAATTGCTTGCAGGAAGTGGGTTCAATTGCTGGGTCCCCTCTGAGGCTGGAGGTGTACCATTCCTGGCACAGTTTTAAGAGTGGGTTGTAGGCCTGAGAGTGGACAGAAGGGCCAGCTCAGGGTCTGGGCCAGTCTTCCCCTCTACTGTCCAGGGCATCTGGGCTAGAACCCCCCATCTTCCTCCCTCTAGGACCACCCTGCCTCCCACATACAGGCTTCTCCACGGCCCAGCATAGACTCTGTCTTGAAAACTCAGTAGCTCAGTGAGCTGGTGCTATTCCCCTGAGGCCTACAGGGCAAATAACCAGGCTGAAGGAGGGCACTATCCTGCAGTGGCAACACACAGGACCCTAGGAGAGGCCTTCCAGGGCAAACAGGGCATTGAGGAGCAGAGAGCCAGGTTGCACCTGAAGGGAACGGGCCATCCCCACTGTCCCAGCCTAAACCTAAGATCCCATGAGCTGTATTCTACCAACTGGTGACCCCACACTCAGCCCAGCATACACATAAAACAGTACTTGAACCAAAAGATGTGCGGGATCTTGGGGGCCCCGTGTCACCCTAGGTCCAGGAACAACTAGTCCCAGTTCCTGCAGGTACGACCTGGACCGCCTCACCTCAGGTGGCCTTAAAATGCCACTGCACCCACTACAGGGGACTGGGCTGCTGTGTCTGGCCTGGCCCTCAGGCACAAGCAGAGCCTCATGGCAATAGTAGCCTCCTCTCCCAGACCAGGGCCCTGGGTTGGCTATAGATGCCCACCCTGGAGCTCCCAAATCACCTTGGGCCAGCCAACATGACTGACCTTCCGCCTGGTGCTAACCAGTCTGGTGTCGCAGCCTCACAGCCCTCCTTAGTCCTGGAATCCCCACCAGGCCTCCCCTCCCCGAGGATCACCCTAAAGGCCCATGCCCTCTTGCCACACCCACCCTGTGAGTTTCTCTCCTTGCTCAGTCACAATAGGTGGTCACTCGTGCCTTTCCTACTCAGGACCTGTTACAGATGGGGTCTGGGCCAGAACTGGTCTCTAGACCTGCTCCCTTTGTTACTTTTCAAACTCCAAAATACCGCATGACGTACATTTCAATAAAAGGTGTGACCTCAAGCACTAGCTGGACTGCCAGGGGAAGGGGCCAGTAGGCTGGTGCTGTCCCTGCACCGTCCCACCCCATAGCAATCTGATTGTTGGTGCCATTTTTTTAACTGATAAGGAAACTGAGGCACAGTGAGGTTCAGAGTCCACAGGTGTGAGGAACAAGGGAGGAGGCAAGTGTGGCAGGCACCCTCCTTTGTCCCTGGTATGCAGCCTGTTATTTACCATTAGCACAATCCAGTTTCAGGTAGAGAAAGTGAGACTCTGAGAGGGACCCGGGCTGGGCCGAGGTCTCAGAGTAAGACCGCTGTAGCCTCAGGATCTAGGGATTTTTCTGTTTGTGTCCATCCACATCTCCCCACACCATGGCTCCAGTAGGCTGCAGCCACGCTCCTTACACAGCTTCCCTCACCTTTGACGCGGCTGGATAGGCTACCAGGAAGCGGCTGTGATAGCATGTCATGTTGCGGAGGCAGCTGCCCTCAGACAAGCTCTCCCCTGTGAAAAGCCACTTCTTGGGATTTAGGGTCCAGGAGGAGGGAGGAAGGTGGGCCAATCTCTCCTGCTGTCCACGCAGGCCCAGGTGGTACCTGGCAGACAGGAGTGAGGGTGGCTTGCTCCTCAGCTGCACAGGGACTGGGAACTCCCGGGGATTTCTTTCTGCTGGAACCCTCTCCAGTGATTACAATACCCTGAACAAAGAGGAGGAGGTCATTGCTGTCACCAGGCCATTGATGGTCTAGTCCAGCCTGTCATCACAGCAGTCCCACGAGACCCCAGTTCTTAGGATTGTTTTACTGATCAAGACATAGGTTCAGTCAGGGAGTCACTGGACTACAGCCCATGTGGCTAGAAGACAAGGGCCGGGGCCCAGGCCCCACTCCTGCCCCTACCCTTGCCCTTTATGAGATGATGCCATGCTGTGTGCCATGAGGCCTTCTATCCTCTTGAGGGGACAGGTGGCCTCAGGGACCAAATCACAGATAACGCTTCACAACTCCCCTGCTCATTCGGAAGCCTGAAGTGGCTTCTGTCACTACGAGGTGTCTGGCAGACACAGATACACCAGCTGGATCATGATGGAAATGTTAACAGAGCACCTGACCCTATGCTCACGTCGTTCCTTCCTCAGTTCAGGATTCCACGCAGATGTCCCCTTTGCTATTCTCAGGGTCCTCCTCCTTCCAAATCAACACCCTAACTTTCATATCAGAAGTCCGGTGAGACTGTGAATTCATTTTGTAACTGCAACCTGCAAGGTCAAATTTAGGGTTACATTTTCAGTTGTACCAGTGGTCTCCTGGCTACAGAATATTAAAGAGATTCTGGCTGTCAAAGATGCTCTCTGGTTTTGTGCTTGCACCCCGGGCTCTGTCTATAGTTTTCTTTCTGCTGACTGCAGGGCTATTAGAGCAGCCAGCCCACATCTGTGTAACTATTTCTGCATCGCTGTGACCATGGGCAAAAGTTGATCAGTCCCCCAAGCTTTACCTTCAAGAGGCAACTCACCTCTGGCACTTAAAATAAGTGAGAGTTTAAGTTGTAGTTTTGCCACTGAGGGCCATGAACTCCCAGGCCCTCAGGTTCCCCCTAGCAAGGAGGTCGTTTCTGTGTCCCAGACCAGCTATGTCAAATAATCAGATTTCCAGGCTTGACCATTCCTGGGAGGCTACTTCTGCCAAGACTAGTCAGTGTAGAGTCAGGAAAATTTAAATTGTCCAGCATCTTCAAGTAGAGGGGATGTAATACAAGGGACTGATCACAAAACTGCTGGAAGGACAGAAAGAACAAAAGATTGGATGACCCAAATGTTAGTAACGTAGAAAGCTGCTATTAAACTAAGCTGGAGGAGCAGCAGAAAGTCGCCTAAGCCCTGGGGTGCTATTAGGACCTTGCTGCCTGAACCAAACCCAGGTGCGCATGCCCACTGGCTGGTGCTGCTGCCACCACTAAAAACACCCCCAAATTCACAAACTCCTTTACTGCCTCCTGGTCTCCTATCAATATCGGCATTGGCAGAAATTAATGGACAACTCACTAGTAAGGCCCTGGAAAATGGGCTGTGTGCTTGCAGGCATCTAGCTCCCTTGTGGCCTCAAGGTAGGGGCCAGGGATTAGGGGTGGGACCTGAATGCCAGCAGACAAATAGTTGGGATAAACTAATAAGGAACATTCTTGCCTTCTAGTTAGGGCCATTTGACGTGATACCAGTCCCTCTATACCAAATCCATTTTTGCCAAAGGCTGAGACATCAGAATGGCAGGTCCCCACTCCAAGGCAGTTAGAAATGGCAACTCATATTGGGGGTACTTTGTTATCGCCGATGCTGGTGTGTCATGGGCTGATTCCTTGCCTTGGGAGAAGCTTGTAGAAGGGTCAATGGGACACTTGCAGCCATGAATGGGAGTCCAGTGGCAGGTGTGACTGGGCAAGATTCAACAATCTTCTGGGTCAGGGAGCGGGCAGAGTTTTGTCAGAGGTCAGAGAATGACCCTCAAGAGTCTTATTTCTGACAGTTGTTCCAAGTTAGGAGGAGATACAGTGACAAAGTCCCGCGTTAGATGAGGAAAGGTGCTGGGACAGGACAAAACACCCCACACACACCTCCAGTCTTTCTGAAAAAGGAGTCAGGAGAAGGAATTTATTGGTGTTTTATCTACTCTCTCAGACAGAAAGATCAACAGACTAGGTCAGAAAACCAGGTCATCTGTTTAAATTTCCCAACAAGCTTATGAGAGAAGAATCCTCCTCCTTTCACACCTGTGAAAAGTGGTTTAGAAAGTCAGTGCTGGGTCTCCTTGGTGGCACAAGGGGTTAAGCACTGCACTATGAAGCAATCCGCAGCCTCTGCAGCAGGAGTTTGATCCCCCGCCAGCCAGGGAGCTACCCACAGGGCACAGCAGACCTCTCCTGTCTCGCTCGCTGCTCCCCTCAGCAGTGTATTTCAGTCGATCTGCCTGTTGTGCTCCCCACTCTGTCTCTGGTGAATCCTCTCACCCCCCACATCTCTGGCCTGTGCCCCAGCTCTTGTATGCATAAATAAATAAATCTTTTAAAAAAAAAGAAAGAAAGGCAGTGCCATTCTCATGTGGAGCACTCATTGTGTATGTGTTCAGTGAGGACACAAGAGTGATAAGGCAGGTGAGGCCATATCTTGATGTGATCCACAGTCCAGGGGTGGGGGAGAGCACACACACAGTAAGAAAGCTCTGTGCTCAGGCCACTGTCACACCCAAGCAACGTGCCAAACCTGGCACAAAGCCCCTGAAGCCTCTCTTAAAGCAGGGAATCTAGGCTGGAGCCCAAAGATGGGTGGGTTTTGTGAGAGGAGCAGCCTCAGGTCCTGAACAACCAGTCTTCATGGTCTCTGAACTCATATTATACTCCAGCCCCATACACTTTCCATACACTTCATACCTATGGAGCCACTTGCACGTCAGGGCCTTTGCACATGCTGTTCCCTTAACCAAAATACTCTCCTTCCTTCCCAACTCCAGACAGCCTTGGGGCTCCCTCCCTCACCACCTTTAGGTCTGTGCCCAATTTCTTAGAGAGGCCTTCTATCCCAGATCCCACCCTACTGTAAATTGCTTTTCCCATTCCTGAGTCCCTTACTTTGCTTTATGGTTTCCAATCTTTGCTTCCTTGTTATATTACATGTTTATCTTGCTTGTTATTTGTTGTCTGCATCTCTCTGCTAAAGTACAAGCTCCATGAAGAGTTTATTTTCTGGCTTGTTTGTTACAATATCCCTAGCATATCAGTCAGTACCTGGAATATCGATAATGTTCAGAATGTTTGTCAGATGGAAGGATGGAAGGATGGATGGATGGATGGATGGATGGATGGACATATGGGTGGATGAATGAATAGTGGTTGGATGGATGGATGGATAGATGGAAGGAACAGTGATGGTAAAAAGGGCTCCAGATAGACTAAACAATACAAGTAAATTCCTACCAGTGAGATAGCTAAAGGCTTCTTTTGAAGTTGCATTTGACTGGGAGAGCAAGAGTCAAGAAATGTACCTGGAGATGGTTGGGGTCAGACAATAGAAAACCTTGAGACGTGGTAGAAGTTGCCAGCAACTCAGTCCATTTCTACTTGTGGACACATAGCTGCACTTCCCAGCATCCTTTGTAGTGGTTGTGACCCTGGGTGTGAGTTCACACTGGTGAAATGTGTGTGTAAATGATGTGGGCTCCCTCCAGTTTCTCTCTTCTCCATTCCACTGCAGAATTCAGCCAATGGCAATGCTTTAGGGGTGCAAATCTTTCTATGGCCATAAAGAACATGGGTCCCTAAATCACTACCTGAAGAAAAGGCACCTACTAATAACATTTTGAACTATAAATGAGGAGAAAGTGGTTGGAAAGAGCTAGGTATTGAGTTGGTGTTCTCAGTTTATAGTGAGGTGTGATAAGAAAGAGACATATGCAAGCAACATAGAGTTTGCAAACAGAAGAAAGGTGTAGGGCCTCCCCTGGTGGCGCGGTGGTTGAGCGCTGGGTTGCAAAGCTGCCCGCAGGCTCTGCAGCGCCAGTTCGATCCCCGGCTGCTGGTGAGGGTCCCACAAAAAAAAAAAAAAACAGAAGAAAGTTGTAGTAAGATTTGAGACCTCAGTGTATGAAAGACCAAGTGCTCTGGCCCCCAAGTATCAAGAAATAAAACTGGAACAGCTTCTAGGTGACAAAGGCCCATAACTCTTTCTCAGTTTTACAGACAAAGGTCTCAGCCTGGTGGTGAAGATCAAAAGCTTGTTGCCTGGAATCAAAGCGAATTGTCTGAAATGCTTTGAAAATTAATGTCAGTAAATTTGTAACAGGAACCCCATGGTGCGAGCCACAGGCCATGACCAGCTTTACCATGGCCCTGGTACAAGTCCCGGAGCACGGCAGCCTCTCTGAGGTACTGCCTCGGCAGCTGCACACAGCAACTGACCGCAGGCCAGAGCCCCAAGGACTCTGGCAGCATAAACCTGGGCTGCACTGCAGCAGATGCCATGCTGCTCTGTAGGTGGCGGGGCATGGTGGCTGTTGGCACTGAGACACACTGCCTCAGTCCATCACCCAAGTTCGCTTCCTGCAGGAAGTTGCCAGGCTTCTCCTACTGGGGCTCTGGCAACTGTCACCCTGCTCCAGTGCAGACTAGCCCTGGGGCTTCAGAAGTGGAAGCAACCCCCAAGCACCACAGCTCCTGGTTCAAGGCTACTGGGAGAAGCAGTGGGAACCCCGGGGCAACTCCTGAGCTACAGCTCTCCAAAGCCACAGGGACAGAGGTCCTCAGAGCACCAGGCCAATGTGCTAGGCTGCCCTGCAGCTTCTAGGACCTGTGTCCCAGTGCTGCTGCAAGGTCCCCTGCACTGTTACACCCAGCTCTGGTGCAGTGTGCCTCCAGTCCCCTAAGGCCAGGTCCAAATGTGGCTCCTTAGAGCCCACCAGCCTACAAGTTTGCCCTGACCTCAGTGCAGGTCGGGTCTAAGGAGGCACCAGAGTTTTCCCTTCCGAATCTGGAGCCAGGATCATGAATGAACCAATCAGGTTCTAACTCAATGGAATAATCACTTTCAAGCTCTCGAGCTGCCATTCAAGACTTTGAGTTCATTATGCCAATCAAAATTGGAGCAAGTTGTTTGGTGCTTGACTGGCACCGAACAAGAAGATTGAAAAGCAGTCCAATAAGTCTTGTAAGGCAGGCCCTGAAGAGGATATAAGGCAGAGCAGGAGTCAGCTTTACTGATTCAGCAGCACACCTCCAAAGAAGATTCAGCAGATGACCTCCAAAGAGCAGGATTGAGCAGACAGCCTCTCAAGCATTTCAGCAGATGGCCTCTGAAGAAGCATTCAGCAGACTACCTCGCAGACTATGCAGACCTTCACAGATTTCACAGAACTTCACTGACTGTGAGACCTTTGCAGACTTCCAGACTTGTATAGATTCTAGACCTCAAAAACCTTTGTAGAGAGCCAACCACTACACTTTCCTCCGACCCTGCCTCCAACACTGTCTGCAAAGAGTACTGTTGGCTTAAGCCCAGTGACTCATAAGAAGAGCTGTTTGCTATTGGCTTATGTCAAGCTCACAAAGAGCTGTAACACTGATGTCTCTGACACTGCTCCTGGTGACCAGAGCTAAGCAGCACTATTGACCAATACAGATCAGTACTGCTAACCAGTGACCAGCACTCTGTGTCCAACCACCTTTGAGAGTGCTGTACTACTGATCATCCAGCACCACCTCCTTGTGCTGTTGAGTCTACCACTGTTCAGTCTGGCATCTGGTGTTGTTCAGCAGGCCTTCAGACAGTTAGTGCAGGTGTGCAGTGTCACCTCAGTGGCCCAACTGTGAGCACCTCTAGTTGCCACTGTGAGTCGGATCCTAGCCCAATGCTTACCTTGGGCCACCAAGTCCAGGCCCTCAGAACAGTGCCATCTTGCATGAGTAGTCTTTGTTTTAAACTACTGAACACTGTGGAAACCATCTGGGGTGAGACAACAGGCCACTTGTGGCCTTAGAAATGCTTCACTTTTCCCCAATCTCCAGTTTGTTAATAAACTCCACCATTACACAGTGAGCCTAAGTCTTGCAATTGTCAGCATACAGCAACAGAGAGGTGGGAATGAGGAAGCAAAGAAATAAAGCTAAAGAAATAAAAGCTATGTGAAAATGAACCTCGGGAGCGGTCACATGGGCCTTACCGAAGGATAACACCCTAAATTTTGGAGGCAATCACATGCTGAAGAAGCCATGAGCCTTTGGCCAGCCTACCATTGAGGAGGTAGGCTCCCCAAACCAGGCCTGTGGACAGGAAAGGGGCCCTCAGATGTGGCCACAGAGGAAACTGGGTGAAGAAGCCATGCCAGGGCAGGGACCTCTAGACCCTTCCCCTCATTTTTGGCCCTGTGCCCTCCCTGTTCTCTCCTGCCTGCTAAGAGCCACCGCTTGCCCCCCCACCCCCCAATTTATCCTGTCACCATTCCTCTGTTTCATTCAGGCTCACAAGGAAGCAGTACAGATTTTTACTTCCAGCTCATAGGCTGTTGCTGGTAGAGAACATGGTGCATCTCCAAAAGATCTCACAAGGAAATAGGGTTGGACTTGGGGGCTTGAGTGAAGAAAGGGGAACCACCACCTCTGTGTGATTATCAGAGGACAGACTATTACAGAGATTAGGTAATTCACTAAAAATCCATTTCCCGTCCTTCCTAAACACACAGCTGCACTTCCTAGCTTCCATTGTAGTTAATTACTGGCAGCAAAAGTGGATGGAAGCTTTGAGAGGTGGTCACCCCTTCCTGAGGCATTCATATGTTGTTGAGAGTTATGGGAAGCCATTGACAGGCTTTTAAGCAGGAAAACAGTATGCACATTTTTGTAGTTTTAAACAAATGATTATGGTTGGAGTGTGCAGAAAGGGTTAAAGGGTGAAGGCTGGGGCAGAAAGGAAGGTTAGGAGGTCATCCCAGATCCTAGGTGAGAGAAAATGGTGTCCTGGACAGTAAGGAAAGTGAAATGAGTAGGTTTAAGTCGTTTAAGTAACTTGTCCCAGAGTCCCACAGCTGACAAGTGGCAGGGTCAAGATTTGTACTCGGGTCCTTTAGGTGGTAGAAGAGCCTATGTGTTGAGATATATGTGTGTACTGTACACATGGCCCCTCAGGCTCCATCTCTACCACTGCCAGCCTGGGCCATGGTCCCCTCAATCATCACCTGACCTGGCCTCCCAACGGTTTTCTTGCCCTGTGAGCTACTCTCTACACACAGAAAGATTTTTCTAAAATTACATTCAGATCTTGTCTCTCTCCTACTCCAAACACCCCAATATCTTTCCCTTGTGCTAAGGATAAAAATCCAAGGGACCTGATGCAGCCCCTGATCAACCTGTGTCCCTCTAGTTCATCAGACTTCAAATGCATGGCCTTTGTTTTTCTTCTTCAAGTCTTTCAAACTTTAAGCTTCCTGCCTCAGGGCCTTTGAACATGCTGTTTCCTCTATCTGAAATCTTCCTTCTCCAGAAATTACCATAGTTCATTCTTCCTTGTCATTTAGGTCTGTTTTAGCTAGATACATGTTCACCTGCTAGAAAAACCCAACTTGCAGTAACATTTCATTTATCTTATGTATCATGAAGTCTGCCTGTTGCCAGGACTTAAACCCAGACCTCTTGTCTCAGAAGCCTGGATATTTCCCAGATGTCTGGGGCCTTCCTGGACCTTCTCTGTAAGGATTCCAGGAAGTTGTGAGCTGCAGCCAAACACATCAGCAAGTTCTAGGCATACAAACAAGGAGCCTGTGTTTTGAAGCTGGGACAGAGAGAAGAAAAACACCCCCTACACACACACACACACACACACACACACACACACACACACTGGGATTTATGGACTACTCCTTACTTAAAGTGTAAGGGAGTACCTCCTCAAAGGTAGGCTGGCCAATACGATGTTCCTGGTGGTGAAGAGTTTAAGGTTCAATGGCAGCTCCTCACCCAGTGGGGGTTGCCCTCTTTCTGAGAATCTTCTGGCCTTTGTGTGAGTGAACCAGCATGTCTTGTAACTCCTCTCACACACACAGGGCCTGGCACTGAGAATTAGAGGATCAATGATATTTAAGAAGAATTCAATAACCTTTTTGTTTTCATTGTATTTACTTTTTGCAGCTCTCTACATGTGACCAGATATAGTCATACAGAGTTTCC